GTTTGCTTTTTGTGTGTGTGTTTTTTTTTTTGAGTTGGAGTCTCACTTTGCCTAAGCTGGAAGTGCAGTGGCATGCTCACGGCCACCCCAGCGTCGACCTGCTGGACTTCGGTAATCCTTCCGTCTCAGCCTTCCAAGTAGCCGGAACTACAGGCACACACTACCACTCCTGGCTAATTTTTGTATTTATTTTAGAGACAAGGTCTAGCCAATTGCCTGGGCTGGTGTGAAACTTGCAGGCTCAGGCAATCCACTCGCCTTGGCCTCCCAAAGGGCTGGGATTACAGATTGAGCCACTGAGCCCCGCTGACTTTGAATAATTTGATTCTACATGCCTGATATCTTTTTTTTTTTTTTTGAGTTGGAGTCTCACTCTGTCGCCCAGACCGGAGTGCAGTGGCCGCTCCCGGGCACCGCAGCCTCGACCTGCTGGGCTCCGGTGATCCTTCCGCCTCACCCTTCCAAGTAGCTGGAACTACAGGCGAGCACTACCACGTCCGGCTCATTTTGATTTATTGTAGAGATGAGGTCCCGCCAAGTTGCCCAGGCGGGTCTCGAACCCACGGGCTCAGGCAATCCACTCACCTCAGCCTCCCAAAGGTGCGGGATTACAGGCTGAGTCACCGAGCCCAGCTGCCTGCTATCTTTAGATGATTCTAGATTTGGGATTTGATGCTATAGCTATAAATAAGTATTTTTGGCAGATCTCTCAAAATAGAATCTTAGTGTTTATTGTGGTTTTTGATCTGAATTACCAAATTACTTTTCAAAAATGTATCAATTTTGTTCCCATCAGCAGAGTGGTGAAATTATTTCACCATATTATCTCCTTAAGCCAGGCAGGAACACACTTAAATATGTTTGCCCTAAAGTATCACCAGTCGTGTCACATGGCTTCAATTTAAATTTCTTTGATTATTAATGAGAATGAATAGTTTCTAGGTTTTTTTTAGCTTTTTAAATTGCTAAGTTCTGAGAATTAATATGTCTTCTGCATGTTTTACTCTTTTTATTGTTTTATGTCAATTCCTTAAAGATTAGTAATTTCAGTCTTTTATCTACCCTATCTACCACAAATGTTTTCCCCATTTGTTTACTTTTTAATTGTGTGCTTTTTTGAAACTTGGAGATTCTAATATTTTTTCTTTGTGATTTCTTTCATTTTGCTACGTTTAAAGTCATTTTCTACCCCTACATCAAACTTGCCTGATTGATTTTCATGTGTGTGATGTAAAGACATTCTGTCAATTTGCGGGAGCATAAAGACATATTTAAATGTATTAAGCTCATTTAAATAGTATTTTCTATTTATGCTACTTTAAAGAGAAAGAAAAAAGAAGACAAGAAAAGACAGCAAATAGAAGGGCAAAGATTTGTACTTCCTGTATCCAAGAGAGGGTGGATTGGAGGACTCACCGGCAACTGACCTCTGCCCTGGCAGTTACTTCTGTGTTTCAGGTTAGTGTTCTGACCAGTGTGGAAAATAGCTCCAGGCCTGGATTTGCTAACAGTAACCCCAATGCAAGTTACAACTGAAACAGGAATCTCTTCTATCTTACCTAACCATCTCAAGGATTAAGTACCTGGAAATGCAGAAATGAAAGTGTCTGTGTCTTTTGGGAAGGGAGGTCGGGAGTGGGGAGGCTGGGAAGCCAGATTCCTGACCTCTTTTCCTTCTGCACTATCTTCTCTTCTCCACTTGACACCCTGTCCCCAAGAGTTAGACACGAATTTGCAAGGAGTGGGAGCAGGGGACATGTTTAGATTTTCATTCAACCAAGTTTATGTCTAAATCTAACCACATTGTCATTTTTCTCTTCCTTGAAACTAAAATTTGTGCTAAAAGCCGAGCTCGGTGACTCAGTCTGTAATTCCGCACCTTTGGGAAGCTGAGGTGAGTGGATTGATTGAGCCCGTGGGTTCGAGACCCGCCTGGGCAGCGAGACCTCATCTCTACAACAAATAAAAAAATCAGCCGGGTGGTAGTGCACACCTGTAGTTCCAGCTACTTGGAAGGCTGAGGCAGAAAGATCCCTGGAGCCCAGCAGGTCGAGGCTGCGGTGGCTGGGAGCGGCCACTGTACTCCAGTCCGGACGACAGAGTGAGACTCCAACTCAAAAAAAAAAAAAAAAAAAAAAAATTGTGCTAAGGTTATAGGTAGAATGTAGTAAGGCTCAAACCAGATAAAATACAGGTTTTAGTCTGGTAGAGTCTTCCTATTTCAGATTTGTGTCTGAAATTGGAGCTTCAAAAATGGTCCCGAATGAAGAACAGTTGTTTCTATTATGTTTAACAACTTTCAGGCCAAGAATTCAAATACTACATTCCCATCAGCTCACAGAGGAACCCTGAAGTAATTTTGTGATAAATATAGTCAATGAAAGAAGAAAACAAAAATGATTTTTTATACTTTGGCTATAAACTAGGCAAAAGAACACTAGATAAGGCATCAGAGGGTTCTAGAATCAATTCTTCTACCAACTATGAGAACTTGCATAAATCGATTTGCCTCTTTGAGGCTTAGTTTCCTAATCCATATAACCATCTACACACAGGATTGATAAAACATACTGCATATAAAAAGCATTTTAAAACATGCTATGGAAGTATACACATATGCAGCATAGTATGTTCTTCTGAAACAGAAATAAAATTTACCTGATTTCTAAGTGAGCCAATCAAATAAACTACCCTTTGTATTTTTTTTTTTTTTTTTTGAGTTGGAGTCTCACTCTGTCGCCCAGGCTGGAGTGCAGTGGCACACTCACAGCCAACCCAGTGTCGACCTGCTGGGCTCCGGTAATCCTTCTGCCTCAGCCTTCTAAGTAGCCAAAACTACAGGCACACGCTACCACGCCCAGTTAACTTTTTTATTTATTGTAGAGAAGAGGTCTTGCCAAGTTGCCACGGCTGGTCTCGAACCTGCAGGCTCAGGCAATCCACTCACCTCGGCCTCCCAAAATGCTGGGATTATAGGCTGAGCCACCGAGCCCGGCCTACATTTTTTAATTTAATTTAATTTTATTATTTATTTGGGGGGCAATGTCTTACTGTGTTGCCCAGGTTGGACTCCAACTTCTGAGCTCAATGGATTCTCCTGCCTCAGCCTCCCAAGTAGCTGGAATTATAGGTATGCACCACTGAACCAAGCTTTTCTTTGTAGTCGTGATTTATAAGTTATAAAATATGAATTTAAACTATCTTCATTTAGCATTTGTGTTTCAATGCCAACTACTGCACAAAAAACCTTTTTTTTTTTTTTTGATAAATGATCAGTACTGAACATTGATGTTGGTATCAGGGTTTAGCTGGTCAATTCTAAAAAAATTTATAACTATAGAAATCCTTTGCCTTTTCATTACTTTAGTGAGCAAATGAAAGGAGATACTCTAAATGTTCAGGTTAATGACTTTCAGAATAAGGAAGGTAAGAAATATCTGACTCCTATTTTGTTAGAGTAGAACTCCATGGAAGTTTGGTCCAGTTTGTGAAGCTGGTGCTCAGGAGCTTCCAGTCAGAGATTTGCTTTTAGGTCAGTTAGTTTTGCTATGATCCACCCAAATTGGCTGAAGCAGTCTGAAGCAGGCAGGTTTCTAGTTCATCTACTTTGCTAGAAAAATTAAACAGATCATCTTATTGATTATGAGTCAGTGCTCTGTTGTCTGGACATGCTTATCTGGATGATTAGAGTTAAAGAAAAGGAATTGTAGGGTCTGGAATTTAAAAAAAAAAAGTCTTGCTTTAAGAAAAAAATCAAAACAAAAAAACCTGTGTATTTTGGGTAAATTAGATGTAAATTTTTTCATATCATGACAGATCTAGTAAATGGTTAGATCAGCCGGGCTCGGTGGCTCAGCCTGCAATCCCGCACTTTGGGAGGCTGAGGTGAGTGGATTGCCTGAACCCGCGGGTTCGAGACCTGCCTGGGCAACTTGGCGAGACCTCATCTCTACAATAAAATTTAAAAAATCAGCCGGGCATGGTAGCGCGTGCCTGTAATTCTGACTACTCGGAAGGCTGAGGCGGAAGGATTATTGGAGCCCAGCAGGTCGAGGCTGCAGTGGCTGGGAGTGGCCACTGCACTCCATTCTGGGCGACAGAGTGAGACTCCAACTCAAAAAAAAGAAAATGGTTAGATCTGTATAGCATCAAATTTGGGACCCAGTCCCAGCTGCTCATGGACACGCAGAAGGCTGTAATGCCCATTGGGAACCTCTGAGGCTAGTTGAATAGAGGAAGGGAAGGCAGGAGGTTAAACTCATCACATCCACACATCCCAGACAGAACTCCTCCATACACAAGTCAGTTCTCTCACCCACATCCCGTTTACAGCACTTACATTGCTACCCAAGTAGAAAATTCTGAGTTAATGATGGCTTATTATAATTAACTCAGTCTTGACTACTTCTGGTGCATGCAACTCAACAAATATCTCTGAGTATCTTTGTGCAGGGCATTGTTTTCCATGAACTGAAATCAGTCATTTCAGTTTCTGGATTCTAGGCCTTGTTGAGCCCAGGAGTTCGAAGCTGTAGTGAACTATGATCACACCACTATTCCAGCCTGGGCGACAGAACAAGGATCTCTCTGAAAAAAAGTAGATACATACAGAGAATAGAAACAAACACACAAGAAGTTTAATTAAATTTCTGGCTTCTGTTCTTCTTCAGTCCCAGGACCAGTCCCCAAGCCCATCCCCCAGGACCCACTTGGAGATGACTTCCGGAGATGCTTTGCATTCTATCAGTCAGAGGCAGAGATCCTGCCTGCCAGCCACTGGTCAAATCTAATGGAGAGACAGTAGGTGGGAGTCAGGTGATGCGATGCAATCCACAGGGATTATCCTTTCCGGGTACAGAGCTGCAAAGAAGTAGGGGGAAGTGGGGGGAAGGATACACAGGGTGCTAATTAACTTAGAAGAAGAAAAACAACTTCCTCATATTACTTGCCTGTTCTGAAACGCCCAAGGGCTCCTCATTGCCCTTATAGTCAAATAAACATTTCTTCCAAAATCCTCAGCAATCAGGCTCAATCTTATCTTGCCTCTCACAGGCACTAAAAAAGAATGGGCATGTTAGATTCAGATACTAAGCCTGGTCCTGCTGCTCACTGTGCTACCATGGCTCATTATTTAACTTCTTGGGGCCTTTATTTCTCTTTATTGCAGAGAGAGCAATACCTTTCTTGCAGATCTGCTGCAAGGACAGAGTGATCTTTCTGTTTAAGTTCTGCCTTGCTGTCATCTGCAAATTCCACTGTTCCCTGAAGTGTAGCTCAAATCCCACATGAAACCTTCTCCTTATTGAGGACTTTACTGATTTCTCATCTTTTCCATATTTAGCTCCTTATGTGTTCCATTAAATTTTGGTATGTTTATAAGAAAGGGATTGGCAGTAGCTGGAACTGCCAAGCAGGGGTGGGGAGGTAGGGGGAGCACATAGCATTAATAAGGGTACCTGATCTCAAACTAGGCAAAGTAGAGACCAAAGGTGGGCCCAAACTTTACCTGTATGATAACCACTTGGATACCTAATCCTGAATTGTACCCTACATCTTTAAAATAAAATAATTTTTAAAATAAATAAATAAAGTAAAATAAGAAATTAAAACAACAGGAAATTTTGGTAAGTTAAAAAAATTTTTTAACAGAGTTTCCTGAATGTTTTTCTAGTTTGGACTCCCTTGGTCATGGGGAGACATGGCTTTCTTGACATCTTCTTACATCCTTATTTTCCTCATTGTATTCACTTTCTATTTACCTTTCTTTTTTTTTTTGAGTTGGAGTCTCACTCTGTCACCCAGACTGGAGTGCAGTGGCCGCTCCAGGCCACCGCAGCCTCGACCTGCTGGGCTCCGGCGATCCTACCACCTCAGCCTTCCAAGTAGCTGGAACTACAGGGGCGCGCTACCAAGCCTGGCTAATTTTTTATTTATTGTAGAGATGAGGTCTCGCCAAGTTGCCCAGGCAGGTCTCGAACCCGCAGGCTCAGGCCATCCACTCACCTCGGCCTCCCAAAGTGCTGGGATTACAGGCTGAGCCACCGAGCCCGGCATCTATTTACCTTTCTGACTGCAATGATGGTATCACCTGATGGTTATCCATGACAGTCATCTCATGGGTCACCTCTTGATTAGCAAATCAGAATTTCCATCATGTTATAATTATGCAACACTCTCAGGAAAGATGATCCGATAAACACTGATTTTAAAAATACCACCGTAATTAAAAAATAATAGCAACAAAGCTAAATCAGGTTCCAAGACCTGGGAAAGATAATGACTTATTGTTCAACTGACAGTGTGTACACTGTGTTTTAAATACACCAACTGTGATCTCCTTCTGGTCCACACTGCCGTAAAGCAAGAGAAGGAAAGCATGGGAGAGAAGAAGTCAGGTTTGGAAAGACCCTGGTTTCTTAAGTAAACTGTTGTGGATATGGCGCGCCCCCTAGTGTCTTGAACAACACAGGTGCCCCAGTGTGCACTGGCTGAGAGAGCTCCAAAGCTGAGCAATCTTACCCGCCCCAATCATCAACCTTACTCGAACTACTTGGAGATCAATGTTTTCCTTCTTACTGCACAACGAACCACAGGTCAGAGGGAAAGGGGGTCAGATGTCCTTAGTGCAGTTGGATTGGGGCACCTATCCTATGGAAGCAGTGGGCTGATTCGAGGTACGCAAATAATATTTTTAAAGTATTACAAGCCGGGCTCGGTGGCTCAGCCTGTAATCCCGCGCCTTTGGGAGGCTGAGGTGAGTGAATTGCCTGAGCCCGCGGGTGTGAGACCCGTCTAGGCAACTTAGCGAGACCTCATCTCTACAATGAAATCAAAAAAATGAGCCGGGCGTGGTAGCGCGCGCCTGTAGTTCCAGCTACTTGGAAGGCTGAGGCGGAAGGATCGCCAGAGCCCAGCAGGTCGAGGCTGCGGTGGCCACGAGCGGCCACTGCACTCCAGTCTGGGCGACAGAGCGAGACTCCAACTCAAAAAAAAAAAAAAGTATTACAAATTTACATTAGAAAGCATTCCTCTTTTTTCCTGAGTTAGGGAAATGAATGCAACTAAGGAGAACACTCCAAACTGAAAGATGATTATTTGATAATTATTTTACTAAAAAAATTTTAATTTTCCTCCATTTTCTATGTAGCAAAATGTTAATCATCTGCAAATATATTTCTCTCAAGCAGGACACATGGACCAAAACTGAACCACAGCAGAAGGAAAGCATCTCTTCCAATGGGGAAAAATATGAAGTAATGACTTACATTAAAGCAATGTTTCTCAAAGTGTCATCTCCGGTGCACTAGATCCACAGGATATTAGTGGGTCTTATTCAAAATAAGGATTTCACAGCAAATAATTTTGAGAAATTTATCTTGACAAACTAGTTTAAAAAAAAAATAACTGCAGTTCACCTGAGAGCCCCTAGTATGCACTTAATGTACACACTACACTGTGTAGCTCAGCACACTGAAGTATTTCCCAAATTATGGGAATAATTTTTCATGCTATCTCACACACCTGGTTTGGGAATTACACTTTGCAAATATGCACTGGACTAGAATTTCATTAACTCCCAATCAAAGATGGAGAACACTTAGGAAAGTGTTCAGAAAGGAGAAAAAAAATGAAACATTGGATACTAGCAGCAAGTAGTGTGACCGTAAGGAAGTTTGTGGTGAGTGCCGTGATTCTTTTCTGCATATGAAAAATTAGTAATGCAACATATTAAAGTCTCAACCCCTGGCAGTCCTATAGTGGGGACAGAAGGATCAACCATACTGAAAACATCACCAGCCCACAAAATCACTACCAGATTTCTCCCATGACGTCACAGCAGGCGATGCTGCTTCTGAGAAGGAGAAACAAGACTCCAAGAAGTACAGTACCCCATCCTGCCAGGTTTCCCATTTTTGTTAACACTCTTCCTTGTGTAGTAATTCACATGGATATTATAGGCTTATTATTATTATTAGTCACGAGCACAGACACACAGGGTACTTTAAAGATGTTAGAGGAAGCCTGTATTTAGTACAAGCTGCCAATCAGAGATAATCCTTGTAGCTCACAGCTAGACAAACTCATCCCTAAGAATGAATAAGAAAAACGGAAGTCCACAGGGTGGTTTGTCTTGGATAACAGCACAATAAACAGAACAGCAGAAGCCAGGTCAGGAGGAAGGAATGGATAGCTCTTCAGGACAGGTCTTTGATGCATTTGCTCTAACTTGTGCCTGCTTCCGTTGGCTCGATTCACATTTCAGAAGAGCTGCTTTCCACAGACCCATAGCATGTTGGACAACAACCCTTGCAGACTGGCGCATCAGCAGACCTGTAAGTATGTGTAGCTATGCTCTCTAGCTGAGGATCCATCTTCTGTGGTGAGAACAAGCCCTTCAGGATTGTGGCTCTCAAGTATATTACATTTAGGGATGAAGGGTGTGATATGGTTCATCTCAGCAGCAGTGCTTGGTTTTCAGTGGACGTCCTATTTTCTCCCTAATGCTTTCCAGCTGGGTTGACTTTAGGCCGAGGGAGGTCAAGTGATTTACTCCCACGCCCAGTGAAGCAGAGCAGCTGGGACTTGAGCCTGGGGACTCTGCTGGTGGGCAGCCCCTGCCCTCGCCAGTCACCTGCTCTGCTCCCTGATTTTCACCACCTCTCTAGCTGCACCTCACAGCCAGCCTGCTGCGTCTGGTAGGACCCGTCCCTGGGGCTGCCTCTGCTCTTGACTGGAATAAGAGGCGTGTGACAGTTCCAGTCTGAGCGTTCTGGCAGAGACACGTCGGGCAGACTGCTCCATGCCTGCTCAAAGCATACAGTGTCTGGTGAGAGCCAGATTGAAGATAGCTCAGTGCGCATGCCAAGATTCCAGAAGGAAAAACTGAGCTCACAATTTTCCTTTGCATGGTGATTTTTCATTCCCTCCTTTCTTTTTCTTTTTTGTAAAAAGGGAATCCCCGTGTTTACAAGTTGAAATCCAAAATGCACAAGTGGTCAGTTCACAATTCTGTGACCCAGGAACATCTGTGGGCCTGGGTGTTCCTTGGGAATCTGCAGTGCTCAGCGCCGTGAGCCAAGCTTGCCCCAGCAGAAGGGAATTCTCCATTGACTAAGAGGCCTGTGAGTGCTCGGGGTCTGCTTATCCTTTGCTTGGGCTTTTCCAGAGGCATGTCTGCACTCCACTTCAACTAGTTTTATGAACTGCATGTTGACTATATTTTTTGAGGTGGGTCCATCTGAAACTCCTTATGGGAAGGAGGACATGAATCTTCACTTTGCCTTTAAGAGAAATAAAACTCTGTAATCTGAGATAGGCAAACATGCCCCAAATCTGTTTACCAAGAAACAGGAACCGCTATGTCCTTTGGGCACAGACAAACATCTAGAATAAAAGGTTTGTTTGGCATCTGTTTCTGAGGACTTTAGTGACTGAAAACCAACAGGGCCTCCCTCTGAGGAAGATGGTGAGTCCCGCAGCCCTGACTCCCGGCAGAGCTCCACAGTGAGGCTGCTTCAGTGTGACCAGTGGTAGTGGGTGTGGCTGAATGTACCTCATCACTGCATTCCGGATTCTAGGTCAGTAGATGGACTCTGGCTGTGTCATGCTTTTAAGGTTCTGACTTGGTAGGCTCAAAAGTTAAGCGAACCCACAAGGGACATGTGATGCGTTTGTGTCTCCTCTCCAGACCTTGATTTCCTCATCTGTACAATGAGACAGTAGACCAGATCGCTAATCCTGGGTCTCACTGCAGCTCTAGGAGTCTACAATCTGAGGCTTGCTTCTCTCCTAGTTGGAGTTCAGTACTTCTGCTCAGATTTTTTCTGCTGTAATCTGGGTGCTGTGGGCTGAATCGTGTACCCTTCAAATTCATATATTAAAGTCTTAAGCAGAATCTCAGAATGTGACTGTATTTAGAGATAGGACATTTACATGAAGCCGTTAAGTTAAAGTGAGGGCATTAGAGTGAGCCCTAATCCAATATAATTGGAGTCCTTATAAGTAGAGATCAGGCATGTTTGGTGGCTCAACCTGTAATCCCAGCACTTTGGGAG